GAAAATCCATTTATTTTAACTTTTGAAATGTCATATTCAGTGAGCCGATTTTAGACTTACCATCATCGCCACATTTTAAAAGTTAAAAGCGCCGAAAGAAATGGATGATATACGTGTCACCAACTGAAGATGTGATTATGAGTGCAGGCAACAGAGGTGGAATGGTGACCCGGGCACTTAAATGTTATGGCTCGATAAGTGGGGTGCCCAGGTATTGGCGGCACTGGTAGTAGTCATGATGTTGGTAATGGTTTTGACCCCGGTTGACCGGGTTGCGATGTCTAAGTGACTAATGGACCACATCATTGACCCTAGCCGGTATATGTATCCGCGCCGAGCAACAGATAGCCGCAGCGTTTGCTGTTAATTTCGGCATAGCAGGAGCGCTGCCGAGTTTGCGTGATGGTTGATTTAGTTTCGAACCAAAAAATGCGCATTTAAGCCGTTCGTTACCGGGTTCTCAGAGGAAAGTCGACCTCCGTAATCCAGATGTCTCATTTTTCTACTTTAAAATTAGTTTATTATGGAAGTGCCGCATGAGCAACGCATGAACTCAGAACGTCATAAAAATGGGACGCTTTTAGGAGGCGCTGCCACAGTAATGGCTCAGTTCTAGCCACTCTGAATTTATGTACTTCTTAACGTTTCATAAATTTCAAACCAAAGTCGATCTGTTTTTCCATTTCAAAATTTAATAGTTTGTTTGGCTTGCCCAACACTACATCACGGGAAAAGTTTCCCAAACACCAAAGTTATTTTAATTCAAGCTAGAAAAGTTGTTACAATACTTTATTTTTTTCATCTAACTGGCAGTATATTGTTAACAGGCAACTTGGTGCTCCTCCACCCTACCTTCACAGGGCCATGTCAGTAGTCCTTAAGCCACTCTGTACTTCAACAATGCTTATTCCCCGCAGAGATACAGTTGTGTTGATAAGAGAACCTTTTTCATTGACGCAAGTATGATGAAGATTGTTATACTGCTAACCGACCAACAAACAGCCTTTTAACATACAGCAGAAGTGACACGGAGAGCCCTCGGTGGCAGAGGGTAACTCCTCCACAGCGTGTGGGGATGTGTTTAGGAAGTATCAACAGATCAGTCCGAGGAAAACCGATGCAAGGCCTCATTTAACCCGTTTCTTTAGCGAATACTTTTACTTAAAAGTCACCCTCTTTGCAATGTTAGGTCAAACAGTCCCACTAATTTGCTTTTAGCTGGGAGTAATTCATTTTTAAACAAAGTGTTACATTAAAGAAAAGATTGTTTGTAATCTCAGTCTTAAGGAAAATAACTACAGTGATCTTTATGCCCGTAGCCTAAAGCTGTACTAGCCTCATAAATCTCCGCAATCATTATATGTCTTTATAAGATCAGTAACTGCAGATCTGTTTCTAGGAGAAAATCAAATACTGAATTGATAAAAACCGGGACTTGTGTCCAAACTCTTTTGTGTCCACTAATGATTCAATGGGTGGGTTGAATATTATAGAAGGAGGACATTTGCAGTGTATTGCTACACTTGTAAAGGTTGCAAGGGAATCTCGACACCAGTTTTATTAAGGCAAGATCTGACCTTGGTGAGCAGAAGTTTTTAGTAAGATGGCTGGTTTTAGTTTCATTTAAAGCAGACATAAATGTGAAGTTTCCGAAGCCTTGGAAGCCAGAAGCTTTAAACAAGCCAGTTTAACAGCCAGGCGGCGGTAGTGTTCAAAAAGTAAAAATAATAATAAAGTTAGATGGGGATTGCAGGGACCCCTCTGCATTCTACGCCAACGAGGAAATTCGTAAAGCCCAAACAAATATGCATAAAATATATGCATTAAGGGATGAAAAATGGTTCAAGAACTATAACTTCTTCCTCGTTTCCTTTATCCTATGAAACTACGCCCTCTGATGGGTGTTGAAGTGTGTATCACAGGCTTATCCAAAAGAATGCATTAATGGTTGTCCCTAAACGATTTTCTCACTGTCATACCCCGAGTTTTCCTTGAAGTCGAAAGAAATTATAATGCCATGGCAGAAAATGTATTGCCAGGGAGCAAAAGGGTTAAGGAGGTACTAAAATCGTCCGGAGAATATGCTACCCAGAGGAAGTACATCGACCGCGCCCCCCAGTATCTGAGTGACCAAGACGATGTGTTAAACAAACAATCAAGGTATTACACTCACTGCCTCTTGCAATGGCCAGAGCAGAGGAATGAGCCAATGAGAGGGTTGGGGCAAATCTTAAAAGAAGAAGAAGAAGGGAGCTATGCAATGTTTTGACATTTATTAACCCGTATATTTAACTATGTGGACGGCTCAGCCGCTATATTCTGCACTTTTGGCCACGTCCATATTTTGCCACTCTAAAGGGCAAGTCCTTTATCCGGGTGTCTTATTACAACCTCAAGAAAGGTTAGGGCATTACAAAGGAGGGATGATGTAAACGTCCTTGCAATATGGCTCCCGAAAAAGGACACTTCTGCCAAAAGACTTTGCCGTCAAACTTCTAAATGGAAGTGCATCAATAAATACGGGCGGTCGTTTAAATTTTATAGCCCTGTTATATTTCCACGGTCCTAAATAATTTTTGTTCTTCAATTTTTATTTTTGTGGGTTGAGCACGCTGCTCCGCCGCTGTGCAGGTGAGCTGGTATACCGGTTCTGGTACAGCCCTAATCGATGAGAAAATCGATAAATTGCCACCGTCATCGATTACACCTGAGCATCACTCACTGCAGCTCCGAGCGGGATTGCTGAACTGTAATCATCGCGGCCTCGTGGCATGTGCCCCAATTTTGCGAGGTCGTGTCTTTGGTACCCCCGTGGAATGCAGGGTCTGGCAGTAGCCTCACAGCCCCTCGATTTATGACAAACAATTTTGTTTCTGTATTCATTGGAATCAAGTATGCGCTTTAGCCTACATATCATAGGATAAGTACAGATCGGCTACGCGTTATCACTTACAGCGAAAGTGCTGGCATGCTCAAATGTGGAGCTGGCATCTTTCTCCAAATAGTGAAATGTTCGTTCCTGCATAGAATTTTTAGATTAAGGTAGTCAGCAAATTTTACTTAAATCCAAAAATACACAACTGCTTGTAGATTGTTCTTTTCAAGTATTCGCAAGTCTAGGGATTAGGTCCTTGACAGAAAAAAATAGCTACCTACACCAGTAATCAAGTCTCTTTGTCACTACAAAATGAATTGGTAGTGTCAAAGCCTAGAAGGTTTGGTCATTTGCTTCAAATTCGTCTACTCTATGTGCAGGTAAAATCCTATCAACACGTCCACTAGTAAAGTCACGAAACGATTTTCTTACCTCAGATCCAGTTTAACATTGTTTGTGAAATACATTCCTTGTCTGTTTATGAAGACTGACTGCACCAAATTGTGCATCAAGCAGCTTGGTTGAGCACAAACAATAAAGAGATTTTGTAGTATCTTTGCAAAGAAAAACAAAAAGAACTCCTATCTTATCCGGCTGAGCAATCAGCCCTACTCCTGTTATCCACTTACAATCCGCTGCTCGTCAATCTTCCTTATCTCCCACCATAAGCGTAAAAATATCATTTTCCGGTATTCTGGCAATACGTTAGAAGATAAAATCACAAATTCGAAGTGAATCCACACACAGAGAGCAAGAGTGGAACACGAAGGTCATTTCTAAAGCCAGTTGGTAGGCATGACATTTCGAAATAGCCACTGACCGAAACTTAGTATGACTCATGAAAGACTAGAGGCCAGCTTTCAAAGCAATAATCCCCCTTGTTTCTGCTACGACTCCGAGAGAGTATAAAACAAAGTTACACCAACTTGGTATTTAATTGACCTCATCAAGTATTTACTGATTGACAATGATGACTAGATGGTGTGTCATGGTCTGGAGGTAAACTAAGATGGCCCGCCAGCCCCACCAACACTATGAGGCAATTTTGAAAAGCAAGTGACACGAACAGAGGCTCACATTTGCAACAATTTTAGGTAGAAAAAAGAGGCGATTATTAAATTAGAAGTAATTGTTCGTCGAGAGCTAGACACGCCTTGAATAGAGCCAGAAGATGAATCAGAAATGGTTCGCTGTAAGAACTGTTTCACACGAAAACAACATGAAAGTGATGAGCTGCCACCTGGTCACTTAACCTGCCGCTTTGGTGATATGGAAACGTGCCTCCGAGCGCGAAGGCGATGTGGTTTGGGGCCAGCTCACCTTGAGGACATGATTCAGCACACAAAGTAGTGCTTGCACACACACACACACACAGATGGACACCCAACTTTGAGGAGTATCGCCTTTCTCCTCGCCTCCGCACTCACACAAGCAAGGACAATGAGCTGCTAGAGCCTTTTCTCTCTACAAGAGGTATTGTCTTCTAGGTCCTAGGAGGTTATAGTATGCAGAGGAGTGAGAAGGATTAGTTATTGATGTAAATGGCAGTAGACTTATTTGATGATCTCATGTCACTGAAAGTAGAGGATAATATACTACTAATCACATTCGTCAGCAAAATATAAAAGGTGATGGCTCCCTTCTTT